ATAATGATGTACACGCACTGAATTTCACCATTCAATCAAAAATTGCTGGCGATTTGGTAACATACCAATGATTCCGACTGGTCTTCCGTTTGACTTCAAACGATTGCAATTTCCAGTTCGCCTTGCGTTCGCAATAATAAGTCGCAAGGCCAATCGCTTAGTGTTTGCGGGATAAATTTCAAATTGATTATTTAGAAAATCATTGTTTTTCACATGGGCAGTTACACGTTGCCTGTTCACGTGCTGGAAAACCATCCGCTTTGTTTGTGTTAACGTCAGACCAAAAAACAAAGAATGTGGTTCACCAAAGAGCACTTCAATGAAACGGATAATTTGCGGATTCACTTTCATTTACTTAAAGAAGTTCAACAAAAAACACTTCATTTTTGTAATCGAAATAAATTCATTACTGTTGTGTAATAAAATCAATTTTTTGATTTGTATTGATTAAAGTCTTGTTTGGTGTTTAAAGTCTCAAGATAAAATAGTTTATGCATTGATTTTTACAATATGGTATATGTCACTGTTAGTTGTTAGTACACAAAGTTTAGTTGTTGCACAATTCACCATACTATTGTTTGTTTTATTGGTCACAGCACGCACAGTACCTTCCTTCCCCAGTCAAGAGTTGAAAGATTTTAATTAGACATAATAATTGCGTATGCAATTTTGATCTTGTCGCATGCTTCCAAAAGGTTAATCCCTGCAGTCGTGGATTCCGAAATAGTCTCTTGACAGCAATAGTGGGTTAAGTATGGAGGTTATAAAATTTTCAATTGCAAAGTGAATGATTGTTAAGGATTAGTAATTAGGATTGGAATCAAAGGAGATTCACGTTTAGAATTTTGTCAATCTGCGTTAAAATAGGTTTAAGTTAAATTGTTCATAAGAATGTTTGTATGTTAAATAAGTGTTTTCGACATTTCATTTTAACGTGCTTTATGAGATTTAATATCACCCCAAATGCTACGAGAATTACCTGGCGATTCGATATAAAAATTCCTTTCACCAGCAATAAAAATCAGGCACGTAATAAACATATTATGTTAAAGAGATTCAAATGTTTTGAATACTACTTACGATAGAACGATAAATTATCTAAAGAATATTACATGATTAACGAGGCAAATAAAATACTTTCATTACTAACAACTAAACAAAATTTAACAAAACTTTTAGTGAACGACAAATTAATAATATGTATATATATATATATATATAAATTAATATGTTTATTACGCGTAATAAACATAATACGTATGTTTATTACGTGCCTGATTTTTATTGCTGGTGAAAGGAATTTTTATATCGAATCGCCAGGTAATTCTCGTACTATTTGGGGTGAGATTTTGTTTTCCGGCTAGTACCTGGTTTTCCAGGTTTGAGGTAAAATTATAAAATTGAAAAAGATTTGGGATGCGTGTTCACGGTTAAGCCGAATTGAGTAATATGCAAATCAGGTTTATTGTTACTTAATTTTATGTTTTTATTATAAAAGGTGTCGTTGTCGAATACAAATTTTGCTTTATTACTTTTCTTAAATGTAGAGTCTGGTAATTTTGCAAATTTTATTATTTTTTATTAGTTATGCTCTTTGTCTCGGGTTTAGGGTAATTGAATTTTTGGAAATGATTGATATTTTGATCAAACTCACGTAATTTGATCAAAATTGGAGGTTGTTTTATATTGTTTGATCACTAAAGCTGCTAGTAGAACCAGATTTAGTGGATGCTTTATTAAGAAGTTTACGTAATTTTGATAGACATCTAGTGTGATCGTCATCGAAATCAATTAGTTCTATTTCTAATAATTGATCAATTTCTTCTTCGTCGTCTAAAAAGTTAGTTGTTTCGACAAGTGTATTTTGGAACGTGCCTATCATATGTTTCACTTTGTCCAAAATACAGTTTATCTGTAATATATTTAGTTCGCTACACGAAATTTTTGACATTTCGTTACAAGTTTGTTCAAATTCTGCTAGACGAGCTTTTATTAATGATTGTTCGTTTTGTAAAGATTGTAATGATTTTAATGAATCAATTTTAATGTAGATTCACACATAATTATAGAGTTGTTTAAGTATAGATATAGGTAAAAGATATAAAGATTTAGGATGAGCTTAAGATAAGTTAGAAAGGATTGCTTTGACTAACCTTCGCTTCGTTGACTTTTTGGAAGTTGCTATAAATTATGCTGTTGATAATCACTGTACACTGATATTTCAGTTTTCGTGGCTCAATTAATAATCACTGTAGTTAATAATCACTGTGCACTTTGTAAGTTAGATTAAGTGGCTCCAGTGGATTACGCTGGGTTGGAAATCACTATGCACTTTTTAGTTAATAATAGTTAGTTGCAACTAGTTTTTCACTGGAGATCAAATCCGGCTCGATTGGAACAAAAAATGTAAGTAAAAATCACTACACACGGACACTTTACTACTCCGAAGGACCAGATATAATTAATTATTAAAAAGGCTATATCAGACATGAAATAACAAACAACTGAATGGAAAATAATAACTAGTTCAGGAATTATTTGTATTTAATTTTAGTTAGTTGTATAAGATGTGATCGGGTCAAGGTATACGTACAGAATGAAATACATTTCTTATAACTAGCTAGTTTAGTACCTAAACTAGGGTAGGAAATTATTTTATTATGTCAGGTAGAGGGAGATGGATGAATAAAATTTGTGAGGTTCGAACAAGGTGTATATGAAAAAATAGCTCCCAAAAACATAATTTATTACTATAAAATATTACATCATTTATTATAAAAAATGTTTTAATATCACAATGATTACAAATTTTTCTTTATATTTGAACAGCAACTGGAAATCAAGAGCCCTATGTGCTATTACGATAGTATTTTTGATATATTTATATTATTCTTTCTTTTATACATTGATAAATAATAGGTTTAATTCTCATAACAAAATATCACACAAAATGCTGCATTTATGGAATGCACTTTACTGATGTGTCGATCAACATTATGTTTTTTGTGACTTTTATATTCACAAATTGAACAGCCAAACCGCGGCAATTTGCCGCAGACAAATTTAGTGTGTTTAACTAGATCATTTTTATTTTTGTAACTTTTGTAACACATTTTGCATCTATAACTTGATTTTAGGACTTCATTGGTATATATGTCACGTGTGAAGAAACGGAATTCGGAAAAATCTGAAATAAAAAATTTAATAAACCAGTAAGTTGTTGGAAGTAATAAAATATATAATGGAAATAATATTACAACACGCGGTGAATATAGAACACAGGGGGTACAATATATATTCGGGTGGTCCTTAATATGGACATTTTCGAATTTTATTGCTCCCACGGTCTTAAATGCTTCCAAATAGATAAAAAAATTCTCTAAAAGTTTTAGCTCTTAATATCAACGTTTAGATAGTGCGCAATTCAATCAAAGATTCGTATTGAAATAGCATGGAAAAAATTTCGAACATTTTAAAAATGTTTTTTAGGTATAACTTAGCGACAAATGAATGGAAAGTGATAATACGTGTCATCTTTTATTGAAAATACGACGCTCTACAAAACAGGTTTTTTCTAATTTGTTTTGTAGAGCGTCGAATTTTGAAGAATTCATTTATTCGCTAGGTTACATCTAAAAAACATTTTTAAATTTTTTGAAAATTTTTCCATGTTATTTCTATAGAAAACTTTGATTGAATGGCGCACTATCTAAAAGAAAATATTAAAAGCTAAAACTTATAGAGTACTTTTTTATAAATATTTGAGTCCCTGGGAGCAAAGAAATTCGAAAATGTCCATATTAAGGACCACCATATATATATATATATATATATATATATATATATATAAAACTTATAGAGTACTTTTTTATAAATATTTGAGTCCCTGGGAGCAAAGAAATTCGAAAATGTCCATATTAAGGAAAGGACTCTACTGAGCACAATCCTGAGAAGAAAAGGAAACTGGATCGGACCCATTCTGCAAAAAGAGTGTCTGCTACACGACGTGGCCGAAGGTAAAAAAAAGGACTGAAAGGAATGGGAAAAAGAAGAATGCAGACGATTGACGACTTACGCATGAAGAGAAAATACAGGGAAGTGAAAGCCGAAGCACAGGACCAGGAAGCATGGAAGCAGAAGTTTGAAAAGGAAATGTATAAAAAAGAAATAAAAAGTAATCAATGGTTGTTAACTAGTGGTAATAAAACGGTAATAGGAATATTAAATAAGGGAGAGAGGCAAATCTTTGATTTTGTGGTGCTCTCATACCATGGACCTGCCTTCGGGCACACTACTATTTATTATTATAATGTGAAAATTATTGCAAACACAAAATCTCAAATTTATATTACTTTAAATGTATTACATGTAATAAATAGTTTAAAAAATACTAATACTAATAATAAACAGCCTTTTAAATAAATTGATATAAAAATCAATTTCAAATAAATTATGCACCATGAATTTATTTGAGTGCATAATAATATTATACTGAAATATCTATTCTCGACATATCTCTGATTCTTCTTGAAAGTCTGCAAAAACTAAGCTTTTTAAATTTTGCTCTATATTTTTTTCAATTTTATAATTTCGGTTTTAGAGCTTCATATCAGTTGTGGCAAACAATGTTTAGTAGTCTTCCAACTTTGTACAGAATTGGCTAAAGATTCCTTTATTTTTTTATAAATTTTCTTTAAGAAGCATATGGAAATCCTTTCCTTCACTGGTCATGTCTGCACAATTTCAAGTAAATCTCTGTCTTCTTCTTATATCAATTAATATTATTCCTTAAAATGAATACAATGAGCTAGATTTGGTCCATGTTTGCTCAATATATGCATTTGTAGGTCCCTTTGGCGTCTACTTCGATGGGAACATGCTGAACAGCCAAAACGAGGAGATTTTCCGCAATCAAACTTCAAATGTCGCATTAGATCATTTGACAATTTATAACATCTAAAACAATTCGGACAGCTATGCTTTCTTTGGAATGTTGAATTATGGGTGAGAATATCTTGAGATGCATAATCGAAGTATAAACCTGGAAAAAATAAATAATATTGCAAATTAGTAATTGTTACAGAACTATAATTATAATTTGGATACACTGAACAATTACACTGAATTAAAACATTATAAGTAAATGTATGAAATATTTTTTTAAATAGATTTATGAAATAATCAATATTATGTTTTACAAACAAAAATGTTTGATATTTAGCGTAGTTTTTAAAAAAAAATCATTTTTTTTATTCACTGTAGTGAAAATTTGTGGAATTTACAATTGTCACCCGCAAAGGAACATTCTGTACTATAGTGACATTTTGGAAAAACAACTCAGTTTTTAAAATAATACTCATTTACAAATTGATCAAATTTTATTAAAGCATTAATATATCTTCTTTCCAAAAAAAACTCATACAAAATTTTAATAATTACACATATTCACAAAAAAAGTTGTTCGTTTGAGTGCATTAGTTGAACACGAATTTAAAGTCAAAATGGGGTGCCAAACAACAAAAAATCGAAAAATAATAAAAATCAACAGATGGACCAATTCTGCCGCATAACAGACCAATGTTATGGCAAAGCTATGTTATGAAGAACTTTTCATACAAATTCGTTCTAAATATTGACAATAGCCATATGTTTGCTGTGCAGTCAAGCGTTTTTTCCCAGTATGTCAGATAGAAAAAATAACCTAGAAACCACACAATTGTCAAAAAATAACTTAGATAGCATGGTCTTTCTGACCCAGCTTCATAACATACGAGTGACGTCGCAGCTTATGTGTAAAACGCCTGAATGCACAGCAAATACATGGCATTTTGACAATATTCAGTATGATTTAGAAGTGTAATGTATGGAAGTTGGAGCGTAACATGGCCTTTCCATAACATTGGTCTGTTGTGCGGGTAAATCGGCCCAAATGTCTCCGATCTAGTATTTCTTCGGCATAATAATTAATAACTTATAAATCCTGTCTTGACTATGACTATTAAGTTTCCTTCAAATGATCTATTGAGTTTTTTTATATTGTGAAATTTACTCCACATCGCCCCTGGGTAATCTGCAAACATATTAGCAATTAAATATCTGCAAATGTGTTTGCAAATGACTGCTGAGGTAGACAAATAAAAACTTAATAGATCAAAAGAAACTCTATGGTCATTTATGGCAAAAAGGGCCACAGAAATTGAAAGATTTCTATTTATAATGTAGAAAATTACAAGTTAGAAGACATTGTCGTTTTTCATCTCTATTCTATTTTTGTAGTTTGACCCCCAATTTTGACTCTAGATTTGTGTTCAATGGTAAAAACTACATTGGAAATCATATGTTGCACACCCAATACAAACAACTTTTTTTGTGGACCTGTGTCGTTAATATTATTTAAATAAAAACGACTCAAAATAATTATACAAGTCATTATAATTCAAATACAAATCACACTATGTACACTAGAAAATATATTAATAGTATGAATTAAATAAAATAATAAATATTGTACACATTTCCTAAAAATAAATCACTTTATTCGTTAGAAGAAATATCGTTAATATAATTTATACATTCTAGTACACAAAAAAATATTTTGCTGGAAAAATATACTGACAGAAAATGTTATATTAATTTTATTTCAAAACTACAGGAGAAATTTCATAACTGAATAATACTTCTTAATAACTTTCTTCAATACTTAATAATAACTCTTTGTTTAATTTTTTGAGAAAATGCTTTTTAATTAAAGTTATTTAATTTCTTTTATTTTATTTGTTTCGCGAGTAAAGCATGTACAGAAAACTATTAAATCTTTTACTAAAAACTATATAAGACTTGTTTTAGTACACACAATGGTTCTGAGTCGGTTTTGCTGCTTTTATCACAAATATGAAAATAAAATTGGAGCATAATTTACTGCAACTACTTTATCATGCCCTTTTGTGACCAAAACATATCAAAAATTAAATAAATAATTGCAAATCAAACAATTTGCAACATTTCAATCACAATCACAAGCAACCAGGTACTATCTACGAAATTCAGTTTTTTTTTGTTTCAATATTTCCATTATTGTTTCAAAAATAAACAATAAGCCATTTCATTCACATGTCTACAAATAATATGTCTCTCAATATTTTGTTTTCTTTTACTACGATATTGACAGACTGAACATCCAAATCTTGGTAATTTTCCACAGTCGAATTTTAAATGTCGATAAAGATCAGTTTGTAATTTATATCGACTATTGCAATTGGGACAGCAATAAATTCTTTGGCCCAAAATATCACTGGAATAATTGGCTGGCTCAGGAAAACCTCGAAAATATCCTGAAAAATAAAAAAAATATTAGAAATAAAATTCACACCTATAATACATCAAACTTTTTTATGTAATCATACCTAATATCTTAGTTATCTTGCACTTTCAAATTTGTTTGAGGTATTAATAAAATAAATATAGAATTTATTACAAAACAAGATCATAATAGAAGATCAGATAAAATGTCTGTAAACTTGTTTTTCCTAAATATGAGAATCTCCTGTTTATCTGGATTTGGTCAAATTGCAAAATATGATTTTATATAGCCTAAATATAAAGTAATAATAAACAATAATAAAAAAAATCCTTACAAACATTCATAATTTTATTTAATTTTTAATATATATAAATATGAATGTCAATTATTGTATTATTCAAATAACACAAAGGACTAGTAGTATTAAACAATTAATAAAATTAATAATAATTTAATTACTATAATAAAATTACTACTCAAAAACTCAGTATTTGAGTAAAATACAAAAATAAAATTCTTTAAGATATAAATAGTGCCAAAGCTTAATTAAACTTACTCTATAAATTTAGAACTTTTTAATGTACAAATTCAAGTACATTTTTCTAACAACTATTATAGAAGTTAAGTGAGTTTTACATTGTAAATAAAATCTGTCCGACTAGAAATTAATATAAAATTTTATTATATTTATTTAAATAAATAATTTAAATAGTTTGTTATAATACACCAACATTTTTTATCTGCTTGACTATATTTACCAAATAGCAATTCCATTGACTGCTATTAGTCTAACGAAAAAAATATTTTCTTGTATAAATATTCTAAAAAGTCATACTTTCTAAAAGTTTAAAATAACACACTAAAATCTGTTACACAAATAAATAAATAATTATAGAAACTAGTTACTTCAAAACATAAAAAAGTAAAACTGTGCAAATTTTTATTTTAGGGGAGACTAGATACGGTTGTGCCTTAGTTGGCGTTTAACTTATGTTAAAATATCAAAAAAGTGATCTATCTATGACCTATATTCTATGAACAAAATATTTTTTTGACACTGTGAAAACAATATTGTCTATAGATCAATGGAAACTTCGTACAAATAACTCTAGCTTTCTCCCTTTTAGACTCTATGTCAAAAACAGTATAGTTTAGCTGTTATGACGACTGTCAATACCGTTGCTTGGCACAACCGTACCCGGCCTTTCTTACTAATTACATATGGCAGATTTATATTGACATCAAAGTTTTAGTTGAAAGTTAGTAAAAAGTCAAAGATCTAATAATTATGTGAGAATAAGAAAGTGAATTCACGCTTTATATGAACTATTTCAAAAGCTTAATTCTTGCAGCCAATACTTTAAATATCTATCTGCTTTCAATTACTTTCATATTTTCACATAGTTAATACATCTTTGATATTTTTCCAAACATTCAACTAAAAATTTAGTGTAAATATTAGCTAATTAATTAGCTTTACCTTTAGATTTAGCGAATTAATTTTATTGATGTATGAAGTAAAAGTAGCTTCAGTGAAAATTTGCAAAAGATAAAAGTAAATCCAATAAACTATACGTTTTATATATTGTTGTTATAGTTCTAACTACTATATAAGAATCTTAATAAAAGATTAATCCCTTGAATATCAGATCAATCAAAACTTCCCTTTGTTAGAAAGCACCCTTTTATCACGTGATCGGTTTTTTAAGGAGTTTTGGACACCCTTTCCCTTGTGATACGTGTTGATACCCTTAAACATCATGTATCGAAATTTTTCATTTTTTTGACAATGTTTGAATTTTTTTTAAATCAGGTAAAAAATTAATACACGTGATGTCATACTATACCCCTCTCTCCCTCACGTAATATTACGTGATTTTTTGTCAAACCACCTCACGTAATGGACGCCCCTTACAACAATTTTGTGGGGCTAAAAAGAGTCAAGAACAGACGCATTTTTCTCAATATTGTAAATAGTTAATATATTTATGTATACATTATATTAATATATTAAATTTTATATTACATCTATCACTTTATATTATTAATTGACTAGTAATTCTGCTGATGTCTTCTTTGGCAATGGCTCTTCATGGTGCTCTTGTAGTAGGCTCGATGAGGACAAAAAGGGCATGCAAATTTCGGTGTTTTTCCACATTGAAATTTCAAATGTCTCATAAGATTTCTTTTATAGGAATAAAAAAGTGGACATCTCTGCATTTGTAAACATTTTTTTCACACCAATGTGTTCGAAATCCTGCACGTTTCCGAAGAAATCTGAAATGTAAAACTGTGTTAGCAGATATAAATGTAAAATATAAATATACACATATACAATATATTGTTATAGATTTACATTATATTGTACTGAGTTCATTATCCAGTATCGATTTGCATAAATTATGAATTTATTAGTTTCATGTAAAATTGTGTAAGGAAAAGATTATATAGGTATACATATCAAATATAACATAAAATCTAAATATATATACATATATATATATATATATATACAGGGCGATATATAATAGATATATATATATATATATATATATATATATATATATATACCTGATTAAAAATACTATATTCCATACAAAATATGTTAGGTTAAAACAAAAGCGAAGATTATATTAGAATAAAATCAGAAGTCATAAAACCAACATTCAGTATAAAGTTTGTATTATTTAACTATAAACATAAT